GAGTCACAGTAGCCACTTGGCATTCCACCTCATACAACTCCTTCTTCAACCGTTCTACTTATGCTTTTGCGGCAGTAAGCTGGGCCTCAGCATCTTTCTTCCCCTCCTCTGCCTGCATGGCTTTGGCCTGAGCCGTCCGCACGACATCCCCGTAATGCATCGCCTCCTCGAGGCGCTTGGCAAGGTCCTCCCTCTTAGAGTTCCCTTCACCAAGCCCTTAAGCTGGATGCTTGTGCTCAGGGCCCGAGCCACACATGCGCTGTTCGCGACCACCAAATCCTCAGCTGTGCAGGAGGCGGTGTGGTCCCTCCACTCCTCCGTCCAGTATTTATTGTGGACCACCGCCACCGGAGCTGTTTCGGAAGGAAGAGCCTCCAACACTTTCCTTACGGGCTCTTCAGGATTGGTGCCCAGAAAGTCGACCTCCTTAGAGGGACGGGGCCTTTTTCTCTTCTGCTGCCCCGGCGCTTGGTCAATTGGCACTGCAGCGAGGGGTGTTGTGCCCGGGGCAGCGACGGGCTCAGTTGGAGCGGGCCTTCTCTCTGGGAGGGCTACCCCCGTGGGAATTGTGGTCTACCTTAGAGCTGGGGGTGGCCTCGCCATAGTTGGGCGTCTTGAAGGGACGGCACTCTTCTTGCCCTTCCTTCGAAGGTCAGCCTCCGGGTCCTCCGATACCTCCTCCTCCGTCGAGGGCTGGAGCTTCTTACTGGCCTCCACCAACTCCTTCATTTGCTTTTTGTACGAGAAGGAGGAGGCCTTCAACGCCCGTGCCTCTGCCATCATCTTCTGGATGGTCTTGAAGTCGGGGCGCACTAGCAGCTTCTTATTAAAGTTGTCCGCAAAGAAGCAAATAAGGAATTAATACAAGTCTTGGGAGTTCGGAATAAAAAAGTAAAGGCTTCGATCGAGTTACCTTAGGATGCCATTAAATCGTGAGTAATGGATGTTCTTTTGGATCAGCCTGTGGTAGGACCTCTTCTTTTGAGGCAGATGATAAGATGGTGTCAAAGTCCTCGGTTGACAGCTCGCACTGTGGAAGAGCACCTACAAAGGAAATGTAACTGTTAGATACAATTCGAACTGAAGAGAAATATAAGGAGAAACTACTACTATACTCACTAAGTGTTGAATACTTTGTTGGAACCGTAAGAGGTGCCAGGGGGTCCTCCTCCATCGTGTCCCATTGCCCTGCGGCCCAGCACCATGAGCTCTTCCATTCTTTGATGGAGCTCAGCAGATCGACCACGAATGGAGTGTGAGAACCCCATGACGTAAGGTAATACCATCCCCGTGTCTTATCCCCCCTCCCCCCCACCTTAGGTATATAAAGGGTTTGGAAAATGGAAAGGGACATCTCCACCCCTAATGACGCCTCTTTCCACAACATCCAGAAGCCCACCATCTGGCTCCAGGAGTTCGGATTAAGCTGCGTCGGGGCTAGCCCATAGGACCTAAGCACCATCCTAAAGAATGGGTGAACGGGCAGCCTAAGTCCGGCCCTAAGGATCGCCTCAATAATGGCCACACAGCCCAGCCTAGGGTAGCAGGCTCTCTCTTCCGGCCCGGGAAGGATCAAATCTACGCTATCATGAATCCTATACTCTGTCCTAAGTCTCCCCAGGTCGGCCTCCCTTAATTTTGATAGATAGTCCGACACCCCCAATGCACAGAGGTATCTGGTGGACTATCCGATCATTTCCATATATTTTCTCCCCTCCATTATTGCCTCGGCTATTTCTGAGGAGGTCACCACAATGGGCTCGTCCACCCTCACCATTTCTAAACCTCTCCCCGAACCAAAACTCCCCTCTGAGGCCATTCTTTCAAAATTTAAAAGCTTAAATAGGTACTGAAACTTACGAGTTTGGAGGTTTTCCTAGCCGGAAATGGTGTAAGGTCGCCGGAAGTCTAGTTTTCTCGCCGGAATTGATTACAAAACACCGGAAATCGCCAATAACTCGAGAGCAAAATAGAATGTTAGTTTCGCAAGGGTAGGAAGCCTGAGAAAACCTCAGAGTCCTCCTTTTATAGAAAAACAAATCCGATCTCCACCGTTGAATTCAAATGCGATCAATCTAAGCCGTTCATCGCATCTTCAATCTAGGCCGTTGAAATGAAACGCCAGATTTGATCTACGCCCAAGATGTCGCTGTGACTTTCACACTTGCTTGAAACGCGTCACCTCGGTTGCAACTAGCCGTCAATAATAATTAGTCGTCGCAGCAGCCTTTTAGGAGAATGGGCATGGCACCCAACTGTCACCTTGAAAACACGCAACAGTTGTCAAATCATTTGACGTTTGAATCGCCTCGTATTGAGCTCCTCCTCCAACTTTACAAAGCTTGAACGCACCTGACGCGAAGGCCCTTATGGGTTATCGCCTCGGACGATGCGTTACCTCCCATGCTTTACAAAGTTTCAGCCATCTCTCAATGCGTCAGCCTTTTGGGTCAGCGCACCGGTGGCAGATGAGCTCCTCCTCCAACTTTACAAAGTTTGGACGCACCTGACGCGAAGGCCCTTTTGGGTTATCGCCTCGGACGATGCGTTACCTTCCATGCTTTACAAAGTTTCAGTCATCTCCCAACGCGTCGGTCTGTGGGGTCAGCGCACCGTATTCGCAAAGCTTCGATGCACCTTACGCGAAGTTCCATGCTGGTTGACTGCCTCGTACGTTACGCACAATAACGAAACTTTGGCACGTCTGCCTGTTATCATAACCTCGATTGTTGCAACAGATTAACCCCCAAAACTCCCATGACTTGCGGTCCGGTCAGGAAAGCAAGTCCACGCATGATATAAATATTCATCCTCGGACTTGAGGGACCACTGTTACGCTCCGATCTTACACGCCTCGGACTCACAGCACCACATATTCCGACCTGAAAACGACCGTTCCGAAATGTCTCCGAAGTGATATAGCGATTCCTATTACTGACCTGCCGAAGCATCTCGCCTCCGAGGTCGAGGTCAAGTGGACCCCGGTTAGAAGATCCGTCGCCAATTTGAGATTTGTGCCAAGATGCTTCCTGCACCTAAGGTTTAAATTGATTTGACGTCTCCATGGGGCTAGTTGATGTGACTTATCAACTTTATGTCAATTCAACTCAGAAGAAACAAACTATCCGCCCACTCTACAAACGCGGCTGATTGACGCCTATGAGCGGACGCTTCATACCGTCAGATGTATACACGCGTTCCACATCCAACGGTTCATACCACCTATAAATACCCAAGATTTGGCAAGAGGCGAAGGTAATGAAACTTTTACTACAGAGCACTCCATAACAAGTTTATATATTTTCTCCTCCCCCTTTATCATTGATTTGCATAGCCCCTAGGTACTGTTCCGATCACTTAAACCTGACTTGATCGTCGGAGTGTATACGACCGCCACCACCCCCGCTGGTTCCGACCGTGTGCGCCTGACTATTCGCTGATTGTGCGCAGGAAGGAACACGTGGAGTAGCTTTCAGTTGGCCACGTAGAAGGACCAATTTTCGGGATCAACACCGAGTAGTAAACGTGGTAGTGATAGGGATGATGGTACCTTGTCGCAAATCGAGGAACCTGCCTCGAGTTGTTTAATTTGTTTTTATGTTTTCAATTTAAATCATATCTTAAAAATAACTAATAATATTAAAAAAATCATTAATTAACTAAACGTAATAGTAAATGTAGATTTTTTATCCTCCATCCCGCATAGTCCCGCTTCATGAAAACTTTCAACAGGGCAAGGGTAGCGATAGTCATCCCTCACTCACTTCATTGTCATCTCTACGAAAATTCAAGTCTGATTGCAACCTATTTATGGAAATCAGGAACATAAAAAAGACATCTGATCCAAAAATGAATTTGGTTGGCACATGAATGTGTTCAATATTAAACCTTATTAGAAGGTAAAAATATCATATTCTATGCGTATACTAGAAAAAGGGGTGACCATAACAAGCAAGACGTGTATAGCCCTATTTAGTATGTGTTCGATTAAGTAGGACAATTTGATGGTTAAAGTGGTAAAATGGCCCCTATTAGGCTTGTTAAAGTAGAAGAAATCAATCAATTCACAAAGTATTATAGCTTTCCATTGGAAAAAGGTAAAAGTCTTTTTCTATGGAGTGATAATTTCTATGTCTATACCTTCAAATAAAAACATGGCCATTGCAATTATAACTCTTCGAAGGTTAAAAAATCACAAGTTGTTGGTTACATTTCAATGTTGATAATTATACTATGAAAACAAGAAGTTTAACTAATTATATTTAACCTTCTCTCTTCAAACATGGTCTAATTACGATTACGGACCAATCTGACATGACTTTTTAAAAGTCAAAAGTTGTTTCCAAAGCTAAGAAATTATTTTTGAACATATTAAAATAATTCTATAAAATTGCTCTTTCTGACTAGAAGACATTTTATTAGGAAGTTCCTATAAAAGGTTTTAGAAGTAGTAGAAGCAAAAGCTCCATCAAACACGTCTTACATCATTTTGAGTTCTCATTGGTCTTTTTAGTTCTTTGAAAATATGTAATATCCACTTTAGTCATTATTTCGTTAATTTATAATCCATCGGGCATAAACACTCGTGAATTTTCACTTTTCACCTAATTCATTTTCGATCTTAGCATTCTCATTTCTGCCATGTTCATCCTTATTGAATTTTTCTTATCAAGCAAATTTCATATACGTACTCTTATCGTATGCATTACATCATCTTCAATTCCAATTCGAAGAGTAGATTTCTTAATCAATCATAAAATGAGTCAAAAAATTTAACTTCATTAAAATAAGTAGTAACATAGAAGAAACTTCAGTCTTTGACTCGATCAAAGCACATAAATATATGTGTAATTGAATATTTTATCTAACCCCCCCCCCCCCCCCCCCCCCCCCG